AAAAAAATGGTTTCATCATAGTCATGGGCAGAGATCTAATTGTAATGCTTCTATTTCATTTCAGGGCACACACTCTAAGGAGAAAAATAAAGTAAGGATTAACAATTTCTCAAATAAAGAGAAATGATAAAAAGAAAAGGCAATTTTGCAAATAAATCAGATTTTCAGAAGCTGGTTTTCTTTTTGGTGGTGAAAGGTCATGTTACAGGAGCTTAGAGCTTTTTAAAATGGCCGAATAGAACTAGCAAATGAAATGTGATTTTATTTTTTGACACTGATCAAAAAGAGATATGAGTCGGATTTACCTCAACAGTGGCTGGCTTGAAGTGCCATGGGGAGACGGTGATTTAGGTATGGTACAGACCCTTACCAAATTGTACGTATCTAAGAACGTTAATGTTTTTGCTCTAGCAATGTGATGTTTACTGAACAAGGCAGGCTTTCTCCCTGTAAATTATATAGCAGATGTCTGGGAACTAATGTTGTTTCTAAATATAGTCAGAGTCACCTCCAGTGTAGCTACAGAGAAACCGTAACAGTAGGCATTCGATTAGCACGGTGAAAATTACAGATATTTTGTAAAACATTTTTCACACTGAATAATTTATCCTAAGGAGCAAAATTGAACATTTAAAAAAATCTTAGATACCAAATTAAACTCTAACAAGATGTAAATTGTTGTATATGAAGTTATTTACATTCTATTTGGTCTTGAGAAAGCTTACAAATCTTTCTAATATAAAGCAAATATTGAAAGGTAAGATATTTAATATTGAACACATTTGACTAAAAATATGCAGTTGCTAAATTTCAGATTTTGAAGGAGAGAAGTAAGGAGAGGTTAAGACTTAGTTCAAAACAGCAACTGGAACATGATATAGTGTCTTTTGATTATCACATGTTACCAGATTAATTACAGAAATTCTTCTAAGGAATTACAAGGAAGCAAATGAGGTGGGGTTGCTGGTGAGTTAAGTAAGCAGAATTCAAACAAGAAAAAGATTTTTTCATTGAGTAGCACGCATATACTATAAATTACTCCTTTAATAGATTGGTGTATCTTAATTCCTTATAGTTTACTTAGGAAAGAAAACTGTAATAGTTGTTGATTGCTGGCTTACATACCTTTATAAATCATGCAATTGCTTTATATAGTTTATTTAATTAAGCAGATAGCACTTTCAGTCAATAGATGCTGTTATTTATGGCGTGAGTTTCTCTAGTTTTGGAGAAAAAGGATTACTACCTAAAATTCATACTAAAATCTCCCCTATCTATCAGTTTATATTTAGCAGAGAATGTTAGGTATAATTTATTGTCCATTTATATAGCAGGTACTAGATCTTCATTCCTAATCCTCCCTCAATCCTGTCCGATAGGTAGTGCTTTTCCCATTTGATGAGGAAACTGGCTCTCACATTTAGATGACTGCATGAAGGCCACTGTCCAGGCCTGCCTGGCCTCCCAGTCTTTTTCCTCTGGGAGCTTCTAGGCTCTAGACTCCAGCTGGTCTCTCACTTCCATCTGGTCTCCTATTCCCCCCACCTCCACCCCATCCTCCTCCTGCTCTTGCCAGCCCCCCTACTTAAAAGAACAATGACAGCTATCAGGGGTCCTATGCAGTGAGTATTGCTGAGCTCAGCCCAGGAAATAACTAACTGGTGCACTCTTCTTCATCTTTGTCTCTGCCTGATGGGCCAAGGGATCTCTCATCCAACATGGTGTATTTTCAGTGATTTTGTCACTGACCACCCACCTACACTTTCCAGCAGATTACCATGACATTCGACTCTTTTTTCATGCCTATGGAGGTCATATTAATAGAAATAATAGCAAGTGCACATATGTAAAATCTGACTTCAGTTTTTCTATCTCCACCATGATGGACTTAAATCTCATTTATGAAAAAAGACAGTTGGGACAGAAAGCTATGTGACAGTCTGGGGACAACACTGAGGATTGGGATGTAGTTGGTCACTTCTAATACCTCATTTCTTTATTTTGCTCCTTGTGCAGCCTGTTTTCTAAATGACCCTTTTTTTTTTTAATTTTTTCTTTCGTGGACACCAGCAAGCAATGCTGAAGTGGTTCAGAAGGCTAATACAATCATTTTGATGGACAAACACATTAGTATGAAAATCAGCAACATAAAGTTCCCCATAGCTGCAAATATTTTTAGCTTTGCTGTCTTTTTAAAAGTCTTCATAATATGATAGAAAGAAATGAATCCAGAATAAATCCCAAAGGCCATTTCTTAGGCTTTTCCCAATTCCAACATCTGTTTAATTGGCATGTTAACTAGTGATGATGGAAGAACTGGCAGTACTATCGAATGAGCATCATATAATTCAGCACAGCTTTTAGAGATAAGTTAAGGATAATGAACTTCTATTAAGCTATTATACAGGAAGGAAAGGAGCACATGATCATTATAAATATTACAAATTATTATTTAAATTCAAACATTTAAGTGTTGACTACTTAAAACCTTGTTAATTTACTGCTCCTTTGCTGATTAAACTAACATAATGGTTTCACATATGCAATCTGTTTGGAAAGTGAATATTATAATTTTCTTATTTAAATATTCACAATGAAAATTGATATATGTTCTGAAGTCCTCCAGAAGTATGCTCAGTCAAGTTGTTTACTTTAGTGATAAAACAAATGGATGTGTATGATTTGTAAAGCAA